TTTGTTGAGAATTTCCTCATTTCCTTAAAATGGGGTGTAAGGGCCACATAGCGGGAAGCCCACAGGAAAGACCCTTACTCAGCTAGGCACTGGGATGGGCTGTGGTGGTACACCAGTGAATAAAATAAAATCTCTATCTTTATTAAATATATATTCTAAAGAGGGAGCCAGAAAATAAGCAAATATATGTCAGAATTTCTTTAAAGAACCATAAAGGATGGTTGGGGGCAGAGGACTTTTCATATGGGGCGGTCTGGGAAAATCTCTCCAGAATGAAAGGGTGGAGCGAGGCATTTGGCAAACTGGGGGAAGAAGCTTCCAGCAGCTGGGACGGCAGGTACAAAAGCCCAGACATGCAGCTGTGTGTGACGTGTTCCAGGAAGAGCGAGGAGGCCGGCGTGGCCGGCGTGGCCGGGGAGGGGGGAGAGAGGGCAGGGGGCCCCTTGGCTGTGACTCAGACTCTAGCTTTGATTCTCAGCGTGAGGGGCAGCCACAGGCGGACTGAGGACAGTGCGGTGTGGCAGGACAGACGGGGGTGGGGCGGGGTGAGAACTGGTAGCTGGAGGGCGTGCGTGCGTGTGTGTGCGTGCGTGTGCGTGCGCGCGTGTGTATGGACAGTGGGAGGCGATGCTTTCTGAAGGTGGGGATCTAAGCAGATTTGCTTCCCCACGGCCCTCCCTGGTTCCAGTCTCTCTCCTCCTGCTGTCTCCCACCAGACCTGGAGCTCGTCAAGGCAGAGACCATTGTTGAAGTCACCGCTGTATCCTCAGCACTCAGCACTGTGTCTGGCACATACCAAGGGCCCGTTGCTTGAGTGCTTACATAAGTGACTCCTTTACACCGGTTCCAAATTAAATTGCCTAAATAATAGCTCTGATGATATCATTCCTCTAGCCCTTGGGGCTTGCTATTGCCTAGAAATAAAGCCTTTACCCTTTACTATGTCATTGAAAGTCCTCTCTGATTGGCTCCCTGACCTAATTTTCAAGCTCGTCTTCTGCCACGTCCCTGCCGCCGTCGATCTCTCCTGATCTCGCGCTTCGGTCAAAGTGCGCCTGACCTCTGTTCTCCACAGATGCACGATTTCGCCTCCTTATTTTTGCTCCGATGGCGCTCTAAGCCCGAATGAAATGCCTGCCCTGCCCCCACAAATGTCCGTTAAAATCTTACCTACTTCATGGCCTGGTTTAGACGCCGCCTTCTCTAAGAAGCGGCTACGATTCCCTCCTTTCCCCCAGATTATGTTCAGTCCTGTTCCATGCTCTCCTATGTCTCCTCCGGTATCTCATACCACAGTGTCGGGAACAGGGATGGGCGACATGGAGCCCTGGGACTAGATCCTGCACGCTTCACTTGCCAATCTCGTAAACTTGGATAAGTCACCAGGTCTCCTTATCGCTCCAGGAAGAGATGAATACCTGTCCTCCCGACGGAGGCTCCTGAGCACAGGGGAGCACGTCTGCGACATCCCCTAGTTAACGGCATTACTATTATATCACGTCTCGCATTCTGCTCTGCTTAGAGCTATTGGCACGCGAGTCTCTTCCCACCAGACTGAAGAAGACTCTTGGTGGGAACAAGGACACGTCCCTGTATCTTTCCACGCCACAGCGCTTTGTGCCAGGTGCTGGGGAACAATTGTCTGTCTTAAAGGGAATTGCTCCCCGAAGGCCCCTCCCAAGTCCAGGCTCTCTCTTTCCTCTTTCCACAAACAGAAGTGACTATTTCTGTGCTGTTGCGAGCTCTCCAACGCAATGCGGTACTTCCTCCCCTGTACCCACAGACCCCAGGCCTCGCGAGCCCAGACGTCACAGCTCTGGTGGCGGGCCCGGCCTCTTCCACCCCAGGGACTGCGCCTACCTTTGCCAGGATGCCTTGGCGATGCGTCTTGCAGAGATGATGGTGAAAAGCCAGCTCCAGGTTGTACTGCAGCTGTTCTACTTTCCTTTTCTCTTGGAGCCCCGGCCGGCCTGGAGGAGGAGGGGACAGGGACGCAGTGAGAACAAGAAAAAGCGTGGACGTTGACTTCCACCAAAATCGTGGCCCCTTTTGGACGTCTGTGTTGGATGAGGTCTTCTGCCATGTGCGTGCGTGTGTGTGTGTGTGTGTTGGTTTGACCATGGTAAGCTAGGGTGCCGTGGGCTTGGCTAGCCGGGGAGCTAAAAACTGGGGAGAGAGATGAAAAAAGGGATGAGAATGTCCAATTTAAAAAATTTCGAGCTGCCTCCTCCCTGGCACCCTGATGTTTCACATAGCCCATCCGATGCCAGGCACCAGGATTCTGCCACCAGGGCGGGGGGGCGGAGAGATTGGAAGAGAAACTTCTGCCCCCAGGCCAAGGGAGACCTCAGGTAGGAGATGGCCTTTGCGAAGCCACCTAGGCCAGCATCAGGGCTTCTGCAGCTAACTGCAACAGGCAAACCAAACCACCTTTTCGCCCTGCCTCCGTAAAATAGCCAGAAACCATCTTTTGGAACTTGATTTCCAGTTTGAGGAGCATGTTTAGGTCTCTCCTCATTGGCAGAGCCGGAAGACTGACAAGCTTGGTCTGCAAACTCAGGTTGGTTCCTCGACCGACTTCCGCAGGTTCTCCGAATACTTAGCAGTCAGCGGGCCCGGCCCAGCCCAGCCCAGCCCGGCCCAGCCCAGCCCTCCTCGTGGAGTGGGTACGCAGAGTCCTGCCATGACTGACAGTTTTAAATCGAGTTCACGCAGAGCAGTGGTTCTCAGGCTCAGCGGCACGTTATGCTGACTTGTGGGAGGCTGTTGAGAATTCTGGAGCTCTGGCTGCACCCAAGACCAATCACCCCGGAGTCTCTGGTGACCGTTTTCCAAGCTCTGGGGCGCGGCCGTGACGCCGTGGCTCTCGTGGACGTGCCGCAGACCCGCTTCTCTCTGGGCAGTGGCTGACCGTTCGCCCTCCCATCACCCCACTTCTGCGTCCCGCCCCCCTCAGCCTCCTCCGAATCTTCATCACGGCTCATTTTATTTTACAGCGACATCGGGCAGAAAAATTTCTTTAAAGCAATTTCCCAGGGTTAACCACACCCGGAGGTCTAGGCTCTTCAATATCTGCCGTACCCCTTTCAGCCGAATGTCCCTGCCCCAACCAAGCCCAGCGACACTCACTGGCATTGATGAGGACGAGGGCTGTATACAGGGCAATCTCGTCCTCGGAGAGGCGCAGGGCACTCAGGGAGCGGGAGAAGTCAAAGATGGAGCTGATGAGCTCGCCGCAGCCTGGCGGGGTGAGAATGCAAGGGTGAGCAAGGCGGGCGAGGCCAAGGGGCCCGGGGACCTCCGCTGCCGCTGCCGCCGCCGCCTCCGCCTCCGGCGTTCGGAGCAGAGGGCGCCCGGGGGCTCGGGGGCTGTAGATGGGGTCGGCACCTAAGCCCTCTGTCTCATTCCCCGCTGCCCCTCACCCAAGGCTCGGAACAGCTCCACGCCACCGTATTTGCCTTCGAAAAAGACGGTGTGGTTGTCGGCGTTGTAGGCCCGGCACATCCTCACCAGCACCACTTCCATGGCTCCTGGGGGGCAGGGAGAAAAGGTGCAGGCCTCACACGGAGCCAGGCTTGCATCTGTGTCCCCCTTGCTCCCTCGGTGTCCCAGTTCCCTGAGGCCACCTGCCTCGCCGAGCCCCGCCCCTGCCCTCCAGGCAGCCCGCCCACCCTCCCTGGGCACCTGCTTTGAGCAGCACGATCTGGTCATTCTGGCAGAGCTCCATGAAGCCCGAGAGCCTCTTGGCGAACTCCACCACGTACTGGATGGCCTCGGTGAGGCGGCGCGCACAGCGCTCCCACATCTCCCACGTGGACTGCGGGGAGACGGGTCCAGCTGCAGCCGGTTCACCGGGGCACCCGGCGGCCATCCCCGGCCCCTGGGAGCCCGGGCTGACCGACCGCCTGCGGGGCGCAGGTTCTGGACGCCCGCATTCCCGGCACGGGTGCTCCAGCCTACTCTTAGCACACGGGCACACTCGGGGGCAGTTCCCGGCATCGGGTCGCATGCACCGAGCTGGCACCCGAGTGAGCCCTCACGGGGGGCAGGGGGGGTGGATAGAAAACGTCTGAGATGCGGCTTTGCCCTCAGAGCGTTCCCCTCTCATTGAGGTGGCAAGGATGCACTGAGCCCCCCTCTCCCCAAAAGGCCACAGGCCTCGAAGGTCTGAATAACCCGGAGAAGCAGAGTTCAGTGCCGACGGGTGACTGGAGCGTGCGGTGCTGTTGCGGCGTGACAGGCTTGGAGCCCTGCACATCTGCATCTGCCTCTGGCCACAGCACTTTGTCACCCGGAGCCAGTCTGTCAGCGGCCCTGAGCTCAGTTCCCTGGTCCGTTAAACACGGACACATGCGCCAGCCCCGCAGTTCGGTCGCGGGAAGGGTCCAGGACAATCGATGTAAAGCGCTTGGCAGAGAAGGGGTGTTTAACCAAAGGGAAGCTGGACTCTGACAGTTGTTATCATCCGCGGGGGCGGAGGCAGGAGAGGAGGTAGGGTGGAGGCCAGTCCCGCGTCCCCGGGCGGGCGGGGGCTCGGGGAAAGCTCTCACCCATCGCCAGGGTGTAGACCCCCACGCCCACCCCAAAGGGGCATGCGCTGTGTGCGTGGGTGCTGCCCTGCCTCGCCCCGGCCCCCACGCTGTGCGGGTCGCCACCCCTGGGCTCCCGGTGGCTGCGGCAGGTGTCCTTCCTCCCCACGGGCGCCTGGCCTCACCTTCCTCTGGTAGCCCGCCACCTCCTCCCGCGAGAAGAGGTGGGGGCGCTGCCGCAGCAGGTCCTCCAGCCTCAGCTGGCACGTTTCTCGGTAGGACTTGCATACGTTTTGCACCAAGTGCTCTGAGGCGGACGAGAAGGCAGGGCCCCGACTCAGCCGGCCCCGGCCCACCACGCGCAGGTGCAGGGCGCCCCTCTGCTGGGCCGCACCCCGCCCTGCCGCCCCCTCCACCGCCACCCTTCGACTCCCTGGGGCGCATGCCCGGGTGGCCTGGGGTGCCGGCTAGGGCCCCTCTCCTCGAAGCCCTTCCCTGCCTCCCTTACCCCGTCCGTCTCCCCAGCTGCTCACCGATCCCTGTCAGCGAGGCATAGGGCACCTCTGGGGTGCTGTGGATACCGGGGCTGCAGTAGCTGTCCGGGCTCTGCCCTGGCGCCCCCAGCCCAGGATGCCTGGGGGCCTCAAAACGAAGTTCACATCTGTCAGGGGTCAGCTGGCTGCCCAAGCTGTAGGCGCTCGCTCTGCCCTCAGCCTTGCCCCGCTCGGGGCTGTATTCGAGGTGGTACAAGGCCCCGTTGAGCCCGGCCTTGGCCAAGCTGCTGGAGTAGGGGGACCCGGGGCCAGAGCCGGGGGCTCTCAGGAGGCCAGGGGGACAGGCGGAGGCCTCGGGCAGGTCAGGCGAGGCGCCGAGGGGCAGCTGCCCATCTGGGAGCCCCAGGGTGCGGGAGAGGGGGTCCGCCCCTTGCTCCCCTGAGGGAGAGGTCCTGGCCGCCTGCTCCCGTTGTTGCTGCTGCCGCTGCAGCTGCTTCTGCACCTCGGCGTGCAGGCTGTCCCTCTGCTTCTTGGACATGCGGCCAAACTTGACGGCTGAAAGAGGTCAGGGGTCAGGAGTGTTTGAGGCCGGGAGGTCGCAGGGCAGGGCAGAGTCAATAGGCATTCAGATCCTTAAGGGATTAGCTTGCTGCTCCCTGAATAGCGAGTGTGTGTGTGGGGGGTGCACTTGTTCAAGACCCCTCCCCACCCCTCACTCTTTTGCTCCGGGGCTCTGTCTGGCCCAGACACTTCGTCATCCCAGCAAACATGCTTCTAACTGTGGCGGAACTCAAGCAATCGCGTCTGGACCGAGGAGTCTGGATTTCGGGGCTGGGGGTGGTCGAGTAGGGCCCTCAAGCCGCATTGGGGTCACCTCGCCTGTCTAGGAGGGTCGCATTGGGGTCACCTCGCCTGTCTAGGAGGGTCGGAGGAAGAGGAGAGCCGAGAACACAGGTCTCCCTGTGGTCAGGCCTGCAGGCTCCCTGGTGACCTAGATACTCACCACAGCCCAGCCCACTCCGCGCCCGGCCTCTGAACATCCTCTTCTGCTCTTTCCTGCCCTTCCCCCCCACCCAGGTGTCGGGGCACGGCCCCCCGCCCCCCTGCCCCTTGCG